TGACCCTGCCCCTGCCCTGTCCAGAGCCTTATACCCCTGCCCCTGCCCTGTCCAGAGCCTTATACCTCTGCCCCTGCCCTGTCCAGAGCCTTATGCCTCTGCCCCTGCCCTGTCCAGAGCCTTATACCTCTGCCCCTGCCCTGTCCTGAGCCTTATGACCCTGCCCCTGCCCTGTCCAGAGCCTTATGCCCCTACCCCTGCCCTGTCCAGAGCTTATACCCCTGCCCCTGCCCTGTCCAGAGCCTTATACCCCTGCCCCTGCCCTGTCCAGAGCCTTATGACCCTGCCCCTGCCCTGTCCAGAGCCTTATGACCCTGCCCCTGCCCTGTCCAGAGCCTTATACCTCTGCCCCTACCCTGTCCAGAGCCTTATGACCCTGCCCCTGCCCTGTCCAGAGCCTTATGACCCTGCCCCTGCCCTGTCCTGAGCCTTATACCTCTGCCCCTGCCCTGTCCAGAGCTTATACCCCTGCCCCTGCCCTGTCCAGAGCCTTATACCCCTGCCCCTGCCCTGTCCAGAGCCTTATACCCCTGCCCCTGCCCTGTCCAGAGCCTTATGACCCTGCCCCTGCCCTGTCCAGAGCCTTATGACCCTGCCCCTGCCCTGTCCAGAGCCTTATACCTCTGCCCCTACCCTGTCCAGAGCCTTATGACCCTGCCCCTGCCCTGTCCAGAGCCTTATGACCCTGCCCCTGCCCTGTCCTGAGCCTTATACCGCTGCCCCTGCCCTGTCCAGAGCTTATACCCCTGCCCCTGCCCTGTCCAGAGCCTTATACCCCTGCCCCTGCCCTGTCCAGAGCCTTATGACCCTGCCCCTGCCCTGTCCAGAGCCTTATGCCCCTACCCCTGCCCTGTCCAGAGCCTTATGCCCCTACCCCTGCCCTGTCCAGAGCCTTATGACCCTACCCTTGCCCTGTCCAGAGCCTTATACCCCTACCTCAGTCAAGTGATTGACACCTCTTTGTCTGCCTTTCCTTGTTCAACCACTGCATTCAGTTGCCTTTGCCCTGCGTTCCACAGCTTTGACACTCCAATCCCTCCTCTGCACATGCACACACACTCACACACACTTGTAAATACAACCTCTCGCCCCATTCCTTCTCTCTCCCTCTCTCTCTCTCTCTCTTTTTCTCTAGCCGTTGTGTTTGGTGGAATACTTCTATCAGATAAAGAGAGGCCTTATTCTATGGCAGCCATTCTCCTTGACCTTCACAGGCCTTTTCACTCTTTCACTCACGTCAAACCGTCTTTTGGCAAGCTTGGCTGAATGTGGCAAGTCCATCACGGGTGAAGGGGGAAACCCCGAGCCCCTCCCCCTTCTCCATCCCCCCACTTCAAAGTTGGCCTGCATTCATTAATTGCCCTTTGAATTGATATCAGAGGGTCACAATAGGGGTGTGAAAGGAGAAAGGGGCTTTAATGAAGCATAGAGCCCCCATTCATTTGGAGATAACTATGTTTTTATGCTTGGATTGTCATCATGCACGCCATTATTAAAAAAACTCATGCGAGGCGGAGGAGTAGGGGAGGAGGAGTAGGGGAGAGGAGAGGAGAATAGAGGAGAGTAGAGGAGAGTAGAGGAGGAGAGGGACAGAGAGAGCCCGAGGCGAGGGTTAGTGAGAGTGATTTGGTGCTCCCCCTTGCCCCCTGTGCCCTCGTGCCCAGGGACACACTGAATGACACATTCCTCAGACAGACTGATATTTCCCGTCATCAGATGGTCATGTTATTTAGGGCAGTCGCTATTTTGCACTATATAACCTCAGTCTAACTCTATATAACCTCAGTCTAACTCTATATAACCTCAGTCTAACTCTATATAACCTCAGTCTAACTCTATATCACCTCAGTCTAACATTTACATTACATTTACGTCATTTAGCAGACGCTCTTATCCAGAGCGACTTACAAATTGTCTAACTCTATATAACCTCAGTCTAACTCTATATAACCTCAGTCTAACTCTATATAGACTCAGTCTAACTCTATATAACCTCAGTCTAACTCTATATAACCTTAGTCTAACTCTATATAACCTCAGTCTAACTCTATATAACCTCAGTATAACTCTATATAACCTCAGTCTAACTCTATATTACCTCAGTTTAACTCTATATAACCTCAGTCTAACTCTATATAACCTCAGTATAACTCTATATAACCTCAGTCTAACTCTATATAACCTCAGTCTAACTCTATATAGAACCAGTCTAACTCTATGTTTCTCTGACGCTCTAAGCCTTAAAACAAGAATCACAAGCACTCAACACTCTAATAATTTTCATGTTCCAGACATACTCACATATTGTACATTTTCCATAGAGCTTCTTCACCCTACTTTGATCGCTGCTAGAGAGCATAGCAACAACCATTAATGTGCCAGAAGTTACTATTATTTACAGCTTCTCGTATAGAACACAAGATGTAAGAACCGAAGATGTCAAGGTTGTCACGTTTTCTATAACTCTCTTTAATGAACTACCTTTATGAATGTATGAATCATCTACTGCTGGATATTTTAATTGTGAGGTCATGCTTACAAGGTGAAAATTACAGAGAATAAATAAAGTCTGAAGTCTATTTAAGAGTATACATGCAATGTGCCATGAGTGGAATCAATCATGTCATCTTACTGAGTTTCCCTATAGTCTAATTCTTCTGTTCCCTAACTTGAAATGCACATATAACTCAAACTTTCACTAAAAAATATCAATGCATGACTTGTGTGAAAGCTTCAGTGACACGCATGCATCAGCCATTATTTGGAATGTGCCTTTGGAGTGTAACTGAATCATTGAAGATAACTGATTCTCAGCAGGGAGCATCTTTAACACCTTAAAACATAAGAACTGGAACCTTATGATGAATATGGGAACGTGATATGGGAACTTGACCATGGATCTATGCTACAGTATAGTGTGTAATGTGTTTCCAACTGCAATGCCTCTTAAGCTTCACAAACCAGATGCCCACAATAGCAAACCCTCATCTCACCACTCTTCACTCTTCTTCCAGTGCCACTGTAAAACAATGATGAACATCACAAATCCAACATCAGAAGCCATGCAGAACATAACTCTGCAAACACTCACACACTAAATACACAAACATAGCCCCTAATACTCTCTCAAACCATTCTCTTTTACCCCCCCTCCCTTCTCTCTTCCCTCCCTCCCTCTCTCCTCCAGGCACTAATCCAGTGTGTGCCCACATATTAAATTGTATAGAAGCTCCATCCTTCGTCTGAGTAGCGGGGGACCCCAAGTTCCTCAACTTTATTTACACAAACAAAGTCCTGCTCAGTTTCTGTAACAAAAGTAGCTAAATCTTTTGGCCCTTTCATGTATTGTCAGCTCTTGGTTCCCTTTTGTCCTGCAGCTATTGGCCTGGCTCTGGGCACAATGAGGCTGGGAGAATGGCAGCAGATTGGCGGAATGCGCCTCAATAAACCTAATTATGACATGACGACTGCGCTCACCATGGCAGGTTTTCAAAGATCTCAGACTTATTCAATTAGCCCTTTCCAGGATTCCCTTTCACAAAATAAAGTTATCCCCCTTTGACTGTTTGTCTTTCAGATGGGGAATTTTGTGTGTGTCTGGGTATAAATGGAAATGTGCTGGGCCATCAAGTCTCCTCTGTATGTATCATCAGTGTTACTCAGGGTAATTTTAATTAGCAATGTAAGGTTAAGAAGATACACTGGAAATATGAGAGAAGAGGAGAGAGGGGAGGGCCACTGTGTACATTATCAATCATTAGCTCTATTTCTAGGGTTAATTAATTCAATGTTAGCCTTTTAGATTCTGGAAGGCAGAGAAACTATTATATCCAACATCAACTAATGGTTAGGCAGGAACTGTGCCAAAATAGAAAATATGTACATGAGGCATTTAGTGAGACTGGAGCACTGACTGGACATCAAGAAAAGTATTTTCTGAAGAATGGCAGAATGTGTTCAACTATTGTAATTCTAAGTGGAATGTATTTTCTCTAATACATGAATTGAGAAAGATAGCCTGCCCTACTGTCTACTTTCAAGTCAAACTGCACCAGCCTTTATTCCAAACACATTTGGGCGTGAGGGTATGCTTGCGCATCGTTTTAGGCACTGTGGTGCACGAGGCTGCAATTTAGGGAGCTTGAGATTTTCGAAACACATTTCCGGTTTTTTTCCCCCAGACAAAAAAATCCAAACGAGCTGCCTTTGATGTAGACACTTAAGGGAAATGACAATGAATTCTGAACGACCAGGGGCTCAACTAGTGCTCCTCCCTCGCACAACAATGGTCTCAACAAACATCTACTTCATCAATGTTTGACCCGCTTGGCTGAAAAAAATTATTTTTCAGATTGTAATTGCGGCTGTAAAAACAACATTCCAAATGAGACCAGACAGAAAAAAACGCACGAAAATAGTGAACACCACAGGTCTCGATAAAACTAAAAGTCGTTAAAAAAAAAAGGTCGAGAAATTACGTTGCTGGCATCCCTATACCCATAAAAGACGATCTCTAGAGTGCCATAAAAGCCTAGTCCTCAGGTCCAAACACCATCCAATTTGGAATGTGCGCTCATTACAACCCTTATTACCTACGCATAATAGCCTAAACTATGCATTAGAATAGTCAACTGATATTAGTGCAAACGTTACGTGTTCCCGTTTCAAGTCAAAGCATTGTCGTGGTAAAGGTCATTTACATTTTTCGTTAGCCCTTAGTTTACAATGAACATTTGACCGGTATGAATGGAAATAGGATAGCAAACTGACTGAGGTAAAGCGAGCCCGAATGAGAACGTGGACCCTTGACAACGTTTACAACGGAAACTGCTACTCTATTAGGCTTGTTAATATTAACTTATAGCCTACATTCTGGAATTAATAAAACAATGTGACATTTATTGGCAACCCAATAGATAAAGACAAATATCAGAGGGGTCAATGGCTTAGCGGAGAACTTAATTTTAGGGACTTTTCTACAACGAACTGACTTTCTTTTGTTAGCGGTTGCACTCCTGAAGATGAACCATAGATATTAAACGAATGTGCGCCGCAGGCATAGAGAGAAAGAGAAGGAAAGTGAGGGAGAGGGGCGGGTTCACTCTCCGGATGAAAGTAAGATGAAATAAAGGGCTCGATTTAATCCGCTTGAAGAGATTTTGGGAGCGCAAGGGGGTGAGAGCATGATGGGTGAGGATTGCAGCAGTGCGCATGTTCCATTGTGACCGCCGCTCGAGGCCAAGCGCGCCTCTCCGGGGAGAACATTGGTCCCCATTCACCAAAGGAGTCTTTAATACACTCTCTCGATCATTAAATGTGACATAGCACAATATCAAATCATTTAGAAGACATTATTAATGTTTAAGAGGGCAGGAATAGGGCATCAAAGACTTAATAATAGACCATGCAGAGAGGCATGTTAGCCACTTGTATATCATTAGGCATATATTGGTAAGAAAAATATATTGTGCAACAATTTGTACTTATAAAAATAATCAAATGACTACAATTATTGGGCCTATGAGTTAAATTATTAATAACCATCAAGTAGCACATGCATATCTTTTGGAAAATATTTGTCATTTTATGAGCTATACACAGAAAATATAATTTCTTATCTTGTGGTATTGGAATTTGTAACTTGCCTAAATAAATCCTCGGTGACATTAACAACAACATACGTAGGCTTATATAAAGGTGTTGAAAGCAGGAACCAGAAGCACAAAAAAAAACTATAACTTTTAAACACTGTGTAAAATATGTGAGTGTGCACAGAATGTATAACCTTAATGCACATAATACACAAAAAGTTAGTATTTTCGTAAACCATTATGTCGGCAATGCTCTGCATGTCCAAAATTAAAAGTAACACATTATCAAGAAGTTTAATTCATCTCGCCATTAAATCAGCGTGTTAAGCTGATTTGAAAGTTATGTTTTTAAATATCAGTTAGGCCTATACACTATAGCTGTGTGTGTGCGTGTGTGTGTGGTGTGTGTGTGTGTGTGTGTGTGTGTGTGTGTGTGTGTGTGTGTGTCTGTGTGTGTGAGAGAGAGAGTGAAAGGGGGCTTGATAGGTTTTGAATGGCAGTCGGCTTCTTTAGACGACCTAAAAAGACTCCAAAAGAAACATTTTGTAGGTGAAAACGGCCATTTCTCCATGGTGAACAGTCTCTAGACCTAGCTCGAGCAGCGGCTATTGGCGGACCTGAATAATTCATCCTTCATTGCGGGTTCATAATGTCTTTTCTCGGCCTTTTGTTGGGAAGCTCCCTCTCCTTTTCTGACTGAATTATAAACAGGTTGCCTTCTTTTATGGCGACCAAGCTGCGGCGATGCCAGGCTTTGTCCGCGCATAACCGAAGCGTCAGTCTCAATGGACTCTCCCGCCTTTGTCTCCCAAGTTCATCCTCAAGTGTCCGATTGTGTGCTCGAAGCCTGGCTTTGTGAGGGATGGAACTGTTATACAAATGTTTGATCAACTCATTTGGCATGTTTTGTCCCCTCCAACTCCCCGTCTTTTTCTCTGATTTGTTTTACTGTGCCTGCATTTTACAGTAGAGCGGAGAGAGCAGCTGCATTGAGATGGAATAGGTCTGCGAATTCGTTCATCATAAATCGTAGGAAACCGTAAAAGGGATGTTATGAGATTTCTTTGTTTGAAATACACCATGACAATTAGGGGTTGAAAAAGTTTTTGGTTATTTTTTATATACTTTTGATAGGGGGTATTTCCTCAAACAAACGGGGCTATGTGCATCTCGATTAAAATGCATGTATAGGCCTAATAACAATGTTATTAGAATGATAAAGACGTTTTAAAATAGGCCTACAAGGTAAAGTCTGCCTATATATAAGCAAAGTGGCCTAACATAAACCATTAAATAAATGCAATGGAAATATATGTAGCAGAAGTAGAATATGCACGGCTATTCGAATAAATCTATAGGATACTTTTGCATGAAGAACATTCGACTGATTCGAGGCCTGTACCTTTTGTCGGTAACAAATCTCATGTGTGTTGCTCACTTTGTGTAAGCACGTGTGGTTACACATTCGTTAACTTTTCATTTTTTAATGATCTCTCTCTCTCTCTCCCTCTCTCAAACTCTCTCTCTCTCACACACACACACACACACACACACACACACACACACACACACACACAAACACATTCACAAGGGGCAATCCTCCCTTTCCCACAAAATCTATCACCTGCTGTTTGAATTATCCTAACGCCTCATGGGACAAGCATTAGCAGGAGCGATATGGTCGATAAAGAATTCAAAACAATCCAGTGCACTTTATGACGGTCGACAAAGGAAGACACACTCCCTGTGCTTTCATCGCATCGAAAAGCAACAACTTTACAACAACTAAAACTTTTTAGAGTTAGAGACAGACTAAGCCTATCTACCTCACAAAGTCTAAAAATGAATGGCAACCCGTAAGGACAGGTGACACCAATGGTGAAAATGTAGGCCTAGCCTATCAAGAATGATTTCTGAAAGTCAATAAGCTTACATAAAACAAGATGAAAACCTTTATCTGTCCATCTTTGTTGAGTTTTGAATAAACGAGAGGTTTCCTCACCGTTTCAAAGAACATTAAAGTGCACAGTGGAAAAATGTAGGCCTGTATATGAAGGGCCTTCCCCCTTAAGCAACAAGTAACTGCCTCACACAAGTTGCCTATAGAGGAGAGAACATTAATTATTAATTTATTTATGATTGCACTCACATCGGTCTCCTAAGATGCCCTCGATGCTGTGTTTGGCCCGCCGTTCGTGTTCTTCTAATTCCTTTTTCTCGATTTCATCTTCATCATCATCGTCATCTCCCTTCCCTCCGAATTTACTCCTCATGATGCGACTGATAGAGCTCACTGTGTTACAAGAAATTACAGAGCACTGATTAATAAATAATAAGCTGGGAAAGTCTAAATAAAAGTTCAACAATCTGCACTTATTGATTTGATTTTTTCTTCTAATCTACGGTGATGAAGCATCAAATAAATATAACTTGATATCAACAGATGAATCATTTTTAAAAATCGATTGACTTTAGCGTCCATAATCGCATTGCAATAATTTTTATGATTTTATCTTAACTTAAACTTAACATGGCAATTATATTATAGTATTTATTATTTCCCCACTCATAATTTTCAGCAGTTGTTTACGTTTTTGTTTTCAGAGAGTAAACTGTTTTTTATTGTGGTAAAATGTGGTTATTGAGACGGAAAATACATTAGGCCCATTATGATAAATAAGACGATGATGATGGTGATGATGATGATGAACAATCTACGGCTGCAGGTGAAGATTGCACCCATTTAAATGGGCAGCAATTATGACAGAATGCAGATGTTTCTTTTTACCTGATGGAACGGTGTTCCGGTCACATATCCCATCCATCAGTAATTTATCCCGAATCTCCCAGCTAAACATACCCGGGTTGTCCCGCTTGTACTCCTCTATTCTCTTCTCAACATCAGGCGTCGTCCCCTGCTAAGGAAACGACAAATAATATAAATGTATTAAGGCATAATAAAGAGCACATGTCTACTTGTACTCAGCAACACAATATAGGCCTCTTACATGCTTTCCCAACCTGTCGCTTGTTACATTTTAACCCAACATGTCATACCTCGAGACAAACAGTTTTAATAGGAGAATAAAATGCATGACAATACAAAACCCAACACTTTCACCTGCTCGTGCTCCCTCTCCGTTACCTTGGGTTTGCTTCCCCCGATGGCCCCGGGTCGGATGGAGCCGGTCTCCTGGTACCGGCAGAGGATTTTGGAAACGCAACCGTGAGAGACGCGGAGCTGACGGGAGATTACGCACGGCCTGATTCCATGGTGGGCCATTTCGACGATCTTATGACGGATATGGTTGGGCAAAGGTCTGCCATTTATGAAAACTCCCCCGAGCTGGTTCATTCTGCCTTGGCCTAACGGAGTAGAGACTGCGTAAAAGAAAACACAAAATGGTCACCAGATGGCTTCATGATTATAAACTATAGGCCTACAACACAACAACTAACATTGATTCCGTCATATGCTACTAATAACACCACAAGGCTACTACAAATGTTGTTAAATAAATAAAAATATTACAATAGCCTAATACAAAAATAAGTATTTTAAACTGAAAGGTTTGGTAACAATAAAAGGCCTTAAAAGTTGCCTTAAGTAATGATATGTTCTGATTTCATATAGAAAGTTGTATAGCCTACTTATATGACCCTGTACATATTCTGTAAATAAACAAAAACTTTGTTTTCAGAGATTAGGAAATTATTAAATTAATAGTTTCATTCTCAAAATTAGACAAACAAATAGACAAATACAAAAAGGTATGTCAATAACCACTACAAAATAAACTAGATGAAAACGACGAGGTTAACAGTTCAATCCATTTTTTTACAATTGGATACGACCAAGTTTATGTTTAGGAGCAGTGGTGTAAAGTACTTAAGTAAAAATACTTTAAAGTACTACTTACGTAGTTTTTTTGGGTATCTGTACTTTACTTGACTATTTATATTTTTGACAACTTTTACTTTTACTTCACTACATTCCTAAAGAAAATAATGTACTTTTTACTCTATACATTTTCCCTGACACCCAAAAGTACTCGTTACATGTTGAATGCTTAGCAGGACAGAAAATGGTTCATTTCACACACTTATTAAGAGAACATCCCTTGGTTTGCTTAGTATAAGGAATTTTAAATTATTCGTACTTTTACTTTTGATACTTAAGTATATTTTAGCAATTACATTTACTTTTGATAGTTAAGTATATTTGAGCAATTACATTTACTTTTTATACTTAAGTATATTTCAAACCAAATACTTTGACTTTTACTCAAGTAGTATTTTACTGGGTGACTTTCACTTTTACTTGAGTAATTTTCTATTAAGGTATCTTTACTTTTACTCAAGTATGACAATTGGGTATTTTTTCCACCACTGTTTAGGAGGGGGGCTTATGGGGTAGGCTACAGGATTGAATTCACAGAGTATCCTATATTAATAATCGCTCTTTAATTATTAAGCATCGAAGCCCAAATCTTCCCACAAGCAGTGCTCAAAAAGTTGTTTCGACTTTTGATTTTACCTTCCAATGGGAAGCCACTGTGGGGGTAGTTCTGAGCCAGCATGGGGCGCATCATCCTTGGTATTGCCCCAGCCAACGCAGTCATACCTCCACAACCCTACGCCTTCTGCTAACCTCCCGCCAGAGAGGAGAACGCGGAGCTGCCGACGATGGAGCTTGACCAGTGGGGGAAATTATGAGTAAAAATGTCCTGTATTCCAGTTCGTGGAAGGTTAGCCTTGATAGGGTAGCCACTGGACTAGATAGGAACAAGCGTCCCGGGAGAAAAAAAACACTCCCGACTCTCGAAGAAAAGAGCCCAAGTTACCAAATCAGGAATAACTGGAGGTAGACTTCTGAAGAGTGCGCCTGTGCGTTGATGTTTCACCAGTCGAGAGGCACTTGGATACGTGATGGAATCTGCGGTGTCATCAAGACTCATACAAGTGATGTTGTTCTCGCTATTGTTGTTGACACACGTTCAGAGTGAGGGAAGATGGTCAAAACCCAGAGGAACATTTATTAGTTGTGCTGCACTTCTTTCCCATCAGTGGTCCAGGCGCTGTGATTGGTTTAGAGGAGGCAGACCCGGCTCTTGGGCGTGCGTAATGATTGGCTAACAGTGCAGGAAACTTTCTTCCTCAGTTGTTGTCAGAGACGTTGTTTGGGACAGGACTGAGGAACGGTCTTCCATCATCTCATTGACAGATGTGACAGCACCTCAGATCATAAATTCACACGCAGATGTTGATTAACTATACAGTTAATCCCGTGTAGCTCAGTTGGTAGAGCATGGCGTTTGCAACGCCATGGTTGTGGGTTCGTTTCCCACGGGGGACCAGTATGAAAAAAAAAAATGTATGCGCTCACTAACTGTAAGTCGCTCTCGATAAGAGCGTCTGCTAAATGACGTAAATGTAGATACGTGTAGTTTTAGATGTTGCCATATTGATTAGTCACTCAACATACAATAGTGTTTAATTTAAGGTATTTTTTTCCTAGAGCGCATGCACCCATTTGTTCTCACTCCATGGCCTGAAGATAAGACAAATGCAGCAAAAGTTAGTGCACCTCGAGGAATTTATTGTCGCTTTTAGATTGCGCACTACCTAGAGGAGAGCCGTCTGACGGGGACTCGCGCCCCAGCAGGGTACGACGCCAGGACAGCGGTAAAGAACTTCTGCTCTGCTGACAGAGACGTTACTATTGTGTTGTCGGGCATTTATTTATAGTTGCCTTGCTAGCTGAAAAGACACGAAGTTTCCCTATAGGCAATCGCACAAGGAAGGGGCATTGCTATCTCTCTCTCTCTCTCTCTCTCTCTCTCTCTCTCTCTCTCTCTCTCTCTCTCTCTCTCTCTCTCTCTCTCTCTCTCTCTCTCTCTCTCTCTCTCTACTCTCTCTCTCTCTCTCTCTCAAAGTTTGGCTGCAGTGCAGGGCATTGTAGAAGAAGTCAAAGCAGCCATGCTCTTTAGAGCCACCCTATCAATCAAAGGAGCACAGGTTCATTCCCAACCTTTGAATTCAGACAAAACCCCTCTTCCCTCCACTGTCCATCTAAAGGAGCTCAACTCTACTTGGTTAGTTGCATGTTTGCTTTTAAGTTTAATTGATTTAGTCCCAAGAGTATATAGAGTAACACACACGTATTACAATGTTTCTGTTTTTATGATCCGATCACTTTTGGATGGTAATGGTATTTGGATGATGTTGGAGTAAACGTGTCATTTTTTGTCATACATTAATCCCATGGCCTTGTTTTATTTTGGGCTGATATTTTCAAATGCAATAAGTAACATAAATACCCTCTTCATCGATTTGGTGAATAATGTAGGCCTATAATTTATTGTTTTGTAAGCGTTTTCATTTCATTGTGTGTCATCCCAAATACCACCCGTTTTATATTTTATTATCTCCATAAGGTGGTGCTTGCGCGTGGGGTGCAGAATCACAGAGGTCGTTACCCATCCAGGTGCCGAGGTGCGCTCTAACCGGATTAGCAGCCACTGGTTGGAAATCTTCCACACGCACCTGATGTTCCAGGTCTTTTATGTCTTTACCTCCACCTCTCCAACCCCGTAAGATCACCTAGAAGAAAAGTGGGCACAGCGGGGAGATCGAACGTAAGCACTATCATACTTCTCTTATTTACGTAGAAAATATGTATCCCACTGGCTTTAGATGGCTTCAATTAACATTAGCCTCTTTTGTACCTTTGAAACACTTAAAATGTTTTCTTTCTGTTAGAACCCGCGTAGACAATAGCTACGCGGGGGGAGAAAATACGCGGGGGAAACGCGGGTCCTTTCACGTGCTAAAGAGCAGATTATTGTCCTTCACTGAACCCTTAGGAGGAGGAAACCAATTCAATAAAATTAATATTAGTTTTGTCAATTTACTTCACATTTAAATAGCCTATTTGAACAAGGAAAATTGTCAAATATTGATGACCAAAAATATTATAATAGTCATTGATGTATTGCTTTTATACTTCTCTAAACAGCCTATTTAAAACCATTTTTACAGATCAATTCGATGGGAAGAAAATGTATATTGGCACATGCCAATATGAAGTTGCTGGTGAGAACATATTGTAAAGAATACAATGATCACATTGATGATTATGTCGTGTATGGAAGGCTTTGATGGGCTGTAATGATTGGCTAACAGTGCAGGAAACTTTCTTCCTCAGTTGTTGTCAGAGACGTTGTTTGGGACAGGACTGAGGAACGGTCTTCCATCATCTCATTGACAGATGTGACAGCACCTCAGATCATAAATTCACACGCAGATGTTGATTAACTATACAGTTAATCCCGTGTAGCTCAGTTGGTAGAGCATGGCGTTTGCAACGCCATGGTTGTAGGTTCGTTTCCCACGGGGGACCAGTATGAAAAAAAAAAATGTATGCGCTCACTAACTGTAAGTCGCTCTCGATAAGAGCGTCTGCTAAATGACGTAAATGTAGATACGTGTAGTTTTAGATGTTGCCATATTGATTAGTCACTCAACATACAATAGTGTTTAATTTAAGGTATTTTTTTCCTAGAGCGCATGCACCCATTTGTTCTCACTCCATGGCCTGAAGATAAGACAAATGCAGCAAAAGTTAGTGCACCTCGAGGAATTTATTGTCGCTTTTAGATTGCGCACTACCTAGAGGAGAGCCGTCTGACGGGGACTCGCGCCCCAGCAGGGTACGACGCCAGGACAGCGGTAAAGAACTTCTGCTCTGCTGACAGAGACGTTACTATTGTGTTGTCGGGCATTTATTTATAGTTGCCTTGCTAGCTGAAAAGACACGAAGTTTCCCTATAGGCAATCGCACAAGGAAGGGGCAATTGCTATCTCTCTCTCTCTCTCTCTCTCTCTCTCTCTCTCTCTCTCTATCTCTCTCTCTCTCTCTCTCTCTCTCTCTCTACTCTCTCTCTCTCTCTCAAAGTTTGGCTGCAGTGCAGGGCATTGTAGAAGAAGTCAAAGCAGCCATGCTCTTTAGAGCCACCCTATCAATCAAAGGAGCACAGGTTCATTCCCAACCTTTGAATTCAGACAAAACCCCTCTTCCCTCCACTGTCCATCTAAAGGAGCTCAACTCTACTTGGTTAGTTGCATGTTTGCTTTTAAGTTTAATTGATTTAGTCCCAAGAGTATATAGAGTAACACACACGTATTACAATGTTTCTGTTTTTATGATCCGATCACTTTTGGATGGTAATGGTATTTGGATGATGTTGGAGTAAACGTGTCATTTTTTTGTCATACATTAATCCCATGGCCTTGTTTTATTTTGGGCTGATATTTTCAAATGCAATAAGTAACATAAATACCCTCTTCATCGATTTGGTGAATAATGTAGGCCTATAATTTATTGTTTTGTAAGCGTTTTCATTTCATTGTGTGTCATCCCAAATACCACCCGTTTTATATTTTATTATCTCCATAAGGTGGTGCTTGCGCGTGGGGTGCAGAATCACAGAGGTCGTTACCCATCCAGGTGCCGAGGTGCGCTCTAACCGGATTAGCAGCCACTGGTTGGAAATCTTCCACACGCACCTGATGTTCCAGGTCTTTTATGTCTTTACCTCCACCTCTCCAACCCCGTAAGATCACCTAGAAGAAAAGTGGGCACAGCGGGGAGATCGAACGTAAGCACTATCATACTTCTCTTATTTACGTAGAAAATATGTATCCCACTGGCTTTAGATGGCTTCAATTAACATTAGCCTCTTTTGTACCTTTGAAACACTTAAAATGTTTTCTTTCTGTTAGAACCCGCGTAGACAATAGCTACGCGGGGGGAGAAAATACGCGGGGGAAACGCGGGTCCTTTCACGTGCTAAAGAGCAGATTATTGTCCTTCACTGAACCCTTAGGAGGAGGAAACCAATTCAATAAAATTAATATTAGTTTTGTCAATTTACTTCACATTTAAATAGCCTATTTGAACAAGGAAAATTGTCAAATATTGATGACCAAAAATATTATAATAGTCATTGATGTATTGCTTTTATACTTCTCTAAACAGCCTATTTAAAACCATTTTTACAGATCAATTCGATGGGAAGAAAATGTATATTGGCACATGCCAATATGAAGTTGCTGGTGAGAACATATTGTAAAGAATACAATGATCACATTGATGATTATGTCGTGTATGGAAGGCTTTGATGGGCTGCACAAAGATTATTTGTGGAAAGTTATTTTATTAGGACAATTTTCCTAAATATAAATATTTTAGTTTAAGAACATCAAAAGTCACCTTTTAGTGAAATGATAGGATTTTTTACTTTACACCTAACAGTGTCATCCCTCTTGGACATTCTGGCAAAACATTTGTCTTACATTTGCTAACGTGGCGATTTTGGGGGTCATTGAACTTATTGAAACTGGATAGTGTACCCTAAAAAAAACTGAGGGAATGAAGGAAAACAGAGAGCGATGATGCATATCTCGGCCTTCTTGAAAGCAACACAGAATCTCCGTGTCTAATCCATTACCGGGGATGAAATTCAAAGTTAGAAATTTCACTTGATGAGAAGTAAATTAGTTGCATCAGGTATACAGAGTCGGAGTCAAATCTATAACACTTATTTGTCCAATATTTTTA